GTGCCGGCTCAGAAGACTAGAGGTCGGGTTCGAGCCTCACACGAGGGCTCGTGGATGCGCACTGCTGAGAAGTCCCATACTAGGACGAAACGGCCGTCCAGTGATTCCAGGTTTTGAATGATGGTTCAGCTTAGATCAATTCATGAATCCAACCATTAAGAATTTATTAATAACATTTAGAAATGCAGAATAACAACTCAAAATAAAGAGTATCATACTCATTTTAAACGTGTGTAGTATCATATGTAAGCTTTATAAAGGTGGTTTATTATGGAATCAAACCTCTACATAATACTCCCGTTTTCAATAGTCTTTCAACTGATTTAAGTATTTTTAAGGGTTAATAAATTGACACAAAAGTACTATAGTAATTAGACATTTTATTTCATTAAAAATATCATAATCAACTGCTCATAACTTTAATAATTGAGAATCAAATTAAACTATTTAGGTGTAGTACTTAACAGCAATACTAGCAATCAAATTGAGTCTTTTGTTCAACAGTAAAAAAGTAGTAAGCTAACTCCATACTCCCTAGAATGTAATGGCGGTTCCTTTTACTGTTTTTTAAAAAAATTAATTCCAATAGTTGAAACCATGAGCCAATTGAAGCTAGACCATGATTACAACTATTGAAGTTACTCAACTCTCCACAAATACCCTTCTGATATTTTTTATGATTCGAAAAGTTAATTTCATCAAAATATTCTTGCCGATAAATAAATGATACTATCAGGAACATGAAGCCATCTGTTGGAGATATTTTTTGACTAACTGGGTTTTTTTTTCTATAAATATATACTCCTTTTCATAAGACTCAACAAAAAATTCAGTTTTCTATTTTGATAGAATTTTAGATTGTGACTATATCCCCCTGTAAAGTAGAATTAATGACCGTACGGGCAAACGAACTTACATTCAGAATCTATTTTGTTTGATACAGTTCTAATGGACGCATACAAATAAACAATGTGAATGAACATTAACAGGTCATTATGCACAGTAGTATGTTATGTAGCCCAACATCTACTACTTACATTGGTATTTAGTAAACAAAATGATAGAGTCAATTATTACCACCAAGTATTATTTCTTGCTTATTATCTCTTTTTAGTACTTTTAAATTTTAATGATGTTAGCAATCCGATACCGGGACCTCAGTTTATGTTGCATTTTTACATTTGTTTATCATTTTTTGTGCAAGTTATGACATCTGAGATGATTTGTTTATCATAATGCAAATGACACAATCTCATATGTTGTAACTCAGTCTTGTATATAATTAAAATATATAGGTTTTCCCTCATAACTAAATAAGGTTTCATTTAATAAGCCATGAGCTGCTGTTAAGAGGAAAACAAATGTATTATTCCGTGGTGGGCTGTATATATTAATTCATCTAAGTTTTGGATTATATAGACATTAAATAACTGATAAATTAATGTTAACCACAGGCCACTCAAATTTACGAAACATTTGGAATGCTATATATCTCATTATTATGCCTTATTTGTTATATCCTAGTAAAGATTATATTATAGGTAGCTTCTGAGATTTATTGATGGACTAATATTATCTATATATTCTTCTTGTCCAACTGTTCAGTTACTGGATTATGTATATATATATATATATATATATATATATATATATATATATATATCTTCCTCTTATTATAAGCTCTATTTCGACCTATAGACCATTATGATTTACTATCCTCAAATTATGCACACTTTAATGATTAGTCTTCCACAATCACAGCCACTTTTTATCTTGATCATGTACAAACGTTAATTCGTATTTTATGGTGTGATGTGGTCTATTTGGCTGGTATATGAACCAGGTTTGTTTGAAATAAATGATTCATATGGTGAAAGCAGGTATTGGTGTCCTGGCCTCAACTGGAAGCGCTGGGAGGACAAAGGACGTTAGGCTGCTCGTAGCGCTCGGACGTCATTGGTTTGTCGCAGTGTTAAGATTGTATAAGTTGTCTTCTGGTTGGCGAATGAGTCACGTGATAGCTAGCCGGGCTTAAAGACACAACAATATTAATAAGTGGACGATGAATAAATAAGTTCCAATTAATAGTTTGTTTCCTTACTTGTATCAGCATAAGAGTCTTGTTCACTGGAATAAATAACCACTGGCAATCATATCATAGTAATGGCAAACAAGTACACAAGTATTTATTCCAAGTCACAACACTGACATAACGGTTTTATTCAAGTCATTACACTTACGGTAGCTGACGATAACAGTCGACTGATAAAATTGGAACTAATAAATTAGCCACTAAACGGTGGACTCACATTTAAGAAAAGAATTATTGATGAGACTATGATTTATGGACGAACCAATCAGATTTAAAATAGATCTTAGATTTTGGCGCAAAATTCATTTATCCAATTAGCTAAACGGTGTTTTGACATTTTAGCTGACGTCATTTCGTGATAAAAAACCCTAAATCTAATTCCTAACCCTACTCATTAATTGCAAACTACAATCTTTATTCTTCACACAGGTTTATAAACCCCATTTAGCCCAAATAAGTAGATGGAAATTTCGAAGGTCACTTTAGGGTCGGTCATATGTCGTCCATAAATTGTAGTCTGGCCACGTAGACGAATAATATTATAGAAATGAAGCACCCTTTAGCAATATAACTATCATTTACAGTTGGTTCATCACAAGTTATACATACTTTCTGTTTGAGCAATGAACTTGGAGACAATGTCTTCCACCTGTAGAATTATTAAGGTAGATGAACATTTGTTCAACATGTATTGAATAAACTACGATTATTAATTATACTCTTTCTTGACCATGTAATAGAACCCATCTATTTACTGTAATTATTACTCAACCATCGTGTTGAAATTATTGATTAAAACACAGATATTTGACCTGGATTGAATTTACTGATTAGCCACATTATCCTAGAAGGACTATATATAAACAGCAGTATATTGTTGTACTTGTAACAGTATGAAATGTAACAAAATCTTATATCGGTCAAGGTTGACAAGTAATTTGAACGGAAATAACACAAGGTTCAAGGATGCAAATAAAGTACAAGTTGTGGGTAGCAATGGAATCTAATATTCACGTTTCACCCTAAATGTTACTCGTCAACTGGATATTATATAAACCCAGAATTAGTATATAAAATGGATATACTCAAGTTGCACATATGCAGACAAAGATTGATCAAAATCCAGTCCTGAATATGAATAATGAGATAATACAAATCTCCATTAATAATGTAAGAAGTGAAGCTCGATAGATTGGTTGCAAAGTTAAAATTATGAACATGAGCTCTGAGAACATTTCTTTTAAGTAGTTGATTATTTACTGATTAATAGGCAATATCATTCTTTAATTGTGACTATTATCCAACTGGTGCATATTGTGCTTACTTGTACGCTCAAAATTCTAATTGTCCTATCGCTGAGATTTCCTTTCTAGCTGAGTTAACACATTTCATCATATTCGATGAGAACGGCAATATACTCATAAGCACCAAGCGAATAACTTACCAGTTACACGCTAGATCAGTGTAAGGTGCTTGATGCTTTTAGTATTGGTAAGTATCAGGATGTCTTACTTATTATTTCTGAAATGTTATCGATCTTCTAATTTAGGTACCCCATTACTGTGATCTCCATAGTCACTTAGCTCATGTTTCTTATCTTTTCCTAGCAATCAAGTTGTGCAATGTTGGCAAATGCTGGTAATTAAGAAAATCTGGTCAAGAACAAGTATTATATCACATAAATTCATTAACTCTGTCAGATGAGACTGATTAGATAAATCAATGCAAATCTTAAATAACTTAGAACAAAAGAGGTTTTTTAAAGCCCATTAACAGAACTTAATTTACTTTATTCTGTTTTAAAGCGCATGTATTGAATTTTTTTATTACAAATATAATTTTCATTACGGATTGATATTAGTTGAAGAAGGATTGGAACCCAGGAAATCTATTAAGGGTATTAGTTCTTCCAATCACAAAAGAGAATTTTGTTATTTCTCAATGTTTCCATTTGATCCACTGGAAGAAATTGCTATATCTGCCTTATTTATTGATTCTGTGAACCAACGATTTGCTGAACATCCACAAAGATTGCTGAATTCAAAACTTATGATATAATATTCAAATCATATAGAGTACTTGATTGATAAAATATCATTTGTTCGATGAAAGCTAATTTTTATCCATCAGCGACGAATCTCAGTTGCCATATCATTGAAAAACAGGGAGCACTGAAAAGTCCCTTTGTTCTAGTACGGGGTTCTTCTGCAGTGTACATTCACAAACTTGTAGGAAATAGAACCCAAGTTTACAAGTTCTGACAGCAAAAACTGTGGAGTTCATCTGCAGTGGTTTACATTCATAACTTCGATCTTTTACAACATTGCGTAATCATTTCCTAATTTTATTTTGATGAAAGAGACTGAATAATGTTTTTACTAATTTTTAGTGAAGCGAGTCTTGACTCATTTGAATGATTTCCAAGCATAGCTTAGTATACCGTTGGGTTATTGCTATTAGAGTTGCATATTGGATCCACGTAGCATATACACAGTGTTTTCAACATTTTTTTAAATGTTCAGCGGAAAAAGACAATGAAAGCTTTACAATAAAAAATACTCAGTTCATAGATATACAACACCACGAAATGCATTCGCCTGAGCTAAAAATATTCTGGTAATTTAACCTTTTACCATCACTCTACAAAACAAACTGACAAAAAGGTTTACAGTATTTGTTAGTATAATACTGTAGAAAATTCCATCATTTAATCTGACGAAATAATAACAACGTCAACAAGGCGGTTGATCTAAGTATTCAGCACAGAAAAACAAACATAGTAAACGCATTCCATCAAGATATTTTGTACAGATATTTCAATTCACGCTAGCTAGACTTCAGAATATAAGAAATGTGGACAAACATATATATAAATGAAAAACAAATTATAGATGAAAATTAGCCAACGGAAGAAGTCATTATGTACAGTGGACGCATAATTAAAACAAAACACTATGATTATGTTTGTGGTAAACATACAATCTGTAGTAATTGGCCTTCAACAAAACAATTCTCTCCAACATGTTGTTTGAGTGAACTATTTAAATCAAGTAATGAATTTGAAACAATATGATTTTGATGTTGACTACAATTAGTAGCAAAGTATTCATCTAATTCGTCGGATAATCGAATCAAACCGTATTTCTGTAAACAGAATAGAAAAATAGAATAATACAAGATTAATCAGAAAAATGTAGTTTTATGGAAGATTTTTGTTTAACAAAATCCAGACGATAAAAGTCAACAAAATTAAGGACCTCACACAGGAAATCGTTACATCAGTCATAAAAAACGTAGAGCGTGGCACAAATGTGTGTTGCCATATTATATTAGCACGACAAGATGAATAGTAAAATAACCGAAATAATGTAGCAGCAAGGATGAGAACGATTAAGCATAGAGAATATTATTTGAAAAGACAGAAAGAAAAAGTAAGGAATACTAGAGCTTAAAATATGGAAGATTGAGTGAACGAACTTGCACCATTATAATCGACTGTGATTCACGTCACAGAATCTCTTCAAACATCGATTGCACGGACTCAAACTAAGTAGTCTGCATCTACAGTCAATGACTTCAGGATCTGGTGTTAAGTCTTGGTTCGGCCTCCCCTACCTTTCTTACGACCTACTTTTACACCAGAGAACAGTCCCGTCGAGATAAGCGGCGGTTAGACATGTAATACAAAACTTATTTAACTAGATAAAACACAGTTTGATTAGTTGGTGATACGACATCACTGTCATTCTACTGATCTTGGATTTTATTAATGAATGAACATACACATGTATGTATGAAGTGTATTAAAATGAATAGTAGTATAACTTATACAACCTTTAACTTTCTGATAACAAACAATGTGTAATTCAATCAAGAAGATCAGGGTTATTCATACGTTGCATTCAACATTATTTCTTTATCATTATAACACTGAATTCCGATGAATTTTCATTTTGCAATGTATGTCACGTTAAGGTCTATCATCTATGCCTTATTCCTAATAAATTGATCAAACAGGTGTACATACAATCGCAAACTAATGTGAATGTGTACATTCAATCTGTACACGTTTAATAACTTTTTACCTTCTCTATTAACTATAGCCTCAACAAAGTGAAATATTTAAAAAAGGTTTGCAAAGAAACCTGTTTCAAAAGTGAAAAGCTATAATATCACTGACTCAAAACACTATAATTTGAATATGCAAAATATTGACTACAGTGAGACAGGATTAATCAATAACCAGCATGAAACCTAATGATATCATTATAGCTTCATTTAAGTAATATGATTGTACATAGTTTATGATAAATGTCTGATAAATGTCGACTATCGTTCAACAGAAGAAATTCAAGAATGGAGAATTGATTACTAAACAATATTTCAGCTAGTTTCTACTACAAACTTATATAATCTGTTATTAGAAAGGAATTCTCATTCCGTCTAAAATAAACGAATAGATTCGAGTCAGTGTAAAGCCATAAACAAAACTTATTGAGCACTTCTTGAATTAAGCAATAAGCATATATATGACGTTAAATGATTCACATAGTTTCGCAGAAATAAAATAACTCACTTTATCACGGGGTAAATGAAAGTGTTCACAACCATAATCCAAAATACATCCAAGTGGCCAACGCTATCAGAAAAAAACAGGATGAAAGAAAGTTTATGAATGATATTGTTCAAAAAACATATAGCGAAATAAATTCTTTGAATGTAACCCATCAAATACTCGGTTTTGAGCCACATATTAGTTGAGTCTGAAGGTCAGTGATTGTAACTGGCTCTCCTCAAATTAAGGTAGATGATAAAGTGTTAGTAGCACTGAACAACTGTTGCTTGTTAGCATAAGACCTTTCAGTACACAACTGTGACCTTTTGGTCACGTATCGAATGGTTAATCTTTAGATCATGAGGCTGTAATCCAATGGTTCACATTTGTAACCCTAATAATAATTACTCTAGTGACTTTCAGAAACGGGAGCAAGATTCGAATGATGGTCGTACTATAACGTAAATAGATTAAAATTGAGATTGCATCACTGGACACTGATCAGTGGTTTCGACGACTGTGTTCGCTGCTAGACCTGAAGGTTCTGGATTTGATCCGCAGTAGCGTCACAGGCATGAACTGTTGAGAACTCCCAGCTTAAGACGAAATAGTTATCTAGTGCTCCTTGGCTTTCGAAGTTATCAACTGAAACCGATCCGTAAATGTAAAAAATGAAATAAATCAATTACCACAAAACATCTTAGAATAAGCAATTCATGTACTACTCGACTAAAATGCTTCATGAAAAAGGGATTTTAAAAAAATTAGAGTAACCACCTTTCCAAAATACACTGAAATCATATTATTTTTTGAAAGAACCTCTGGCATAACTGACAAACGAATAACAAATCTCTCTGATTCAGGTAATTCTCTAGCACGTTGACCACCAGGCAATGCTTCCATTTTAGTTTTTAATAAAATCAACTTCGCTTTAGTGGCGCGGGCACGATCACTTAGTGGTTTAACTGATAGTGTGTCATTGATTTTCGTTGGAATTATCGTATGTGAAATAGCTAAAAGAAACGAAAATAGGAAAATGCATATAAAACAAAACATTTACACAGTAATATCATATTATCATGTTTATACAATGACCATTGTGTGTTGTGTGGTATATGACGCAATAAAATGTATTAATGTATAAACTTACAATAATACAACTTTCAATGAATAAAGTAGAATCATCCTATCAGCTTAAATGTATAAATGTTTAAATTTTAAACAATTAATCAAACATTCAAGCAACTACGCTTCAGCTTAAATTTCTATTTGAGAAGACAGATGATACTAACTCTGTACTTGGATAAAAAAGTATAGATTGAAATTGATATATTTATTTATTCAAGTAAGATAATCATACGATTACACACAATTGGCTGTAATTAGTTAAAAACATCATTACTACTAGCTTCGTTCTTTAAGAGGTGATGAGCACAAGGTTAAATAGAAAAATGTGCAACTACTCAAGTTTAATATTTGGTAAGTCAGTATAATTGGCACGTAACTACAGATAAAACGATATCTTTTAAATCTAACATTCAAAACTTTTGAAAAGTCCCAAAACAACTCTCTTCAAATTCTTTAGAAGCCCCTAAAATGCCAGGAAATGTTTTGTTCAATCATCGTCGAATAGAAGCTCCTCAGAAACATCTCGAAAACGAAGAACCATGTGTCATACCCTTGATTGGATATTTGTCTATACTGTCATTATATATAGTATTTTGCCAGAAATTTCTAGAGGTTCAAGGTCATATGTCACTCAATATCCTCAATTTTCTGTACATAAACTAACCTTGAAGTAAAGCTCTAACTGGCATTTCGCATCTTTTTTCTATCACTTCAGTCGACGTGGGGGGGTATCGGTTATCGGGAGCAGATAGGGAGGTAGTCCCAATAGCAGACTTATCAAAAACAGAAGTCCACACTCTCGAAAAACGCAAGTTTGCACGGTATATTTTTAATATTAAAAAAAAAACAGATTATTTTAGTGAGGGAATAGAATACTTTCCATGTTGCGCAAGATAAACTTATATTAAGACGTTTGTGCATTACAGTGAGACATTAGGTAATTGAAGTAATGAGTATGTAATAGGTGGAAAAAATGTAAGGCTTATCAACAATTTCCCCTTGAATGCATCATAACAGAACTATTGAGAAAGTCGCATTATTATTAACAAGCAGATTCAACTAAATAAACTTCTTGATTGAATTCTTAACTTACCATTATATTTTCAATGCAGTGATATGTATTTTAAGTTGTTAGAGAAAACCTTGAACCTAGGTTCCATACTGGCTTGCAATTGTCAGAAAGGCGTACCTGAAGAATTTAAGGAACTGATACTTCATTGAGTTCGAAGCTGCGTCACCCAAATAGCACAGTTATCATGCTGAGCGACACGAGTTTGAATCCCACAAGGAACAACAGTCCTTTCAAGATTGCATGCACATCTTGTTGATGAGTATTAACTAGTAAAAAACTTAGGTTTTTCTGCCGACTACTTCCAACCAACTGACATCTTAATATGGTTCATGTGATGTCGAGTCACCAGAACTACTGGTCATATGACGATAAAATCCAATCAGAACTAATGGACTAGACAGATAAAGCGTTGATAAATACACAGCGAATAATCAATTGTTTATGTAAAGTCCTGTAAACTTAACTTTCATACAACAGATTTATGCGATAAGGTGGCTAGAAGTGAGGCATTACTAGGTGTTTAATAACCTTCATTTTCATTCTTAATTAATTATCTGATAGATGATGTATAGTTATCATAATGTTTTAGTCAGATATTATGTTAATGATTTATGTCAATGGAAATGTACAATTGATGTAGTTCTATAATTGTTAAATCGATTGCTAGTTAGTGCTGTTCTGGCAATTTGTTTGATTAAGTAATTACTATTTAAGACATTCTATTCAAGAAATTTTTAGACTGATTTCAGTTTCAGAATTTACCAATCAAACACTTTTTACTACTAACAACAAGCTTTCCTTAAAATCGAAAATTAAATCTCTTATCGATCAGTAGTAATGAACATGAATGAATTATTATATTTACTTATCTTCAATATTTTAACAACACAATATAATAATCATTTAAGTTGTATAGGCTAGGTTGAAAATGCGGATTTTGTGATACTGGTTAGGAACTTTAAAACCGTTGTGGATATCCAGAATGTTCCTCAAAAAAGGCACAGAGGGAACCTGAAAACGCTAGGAAACATTTTATCCAATCAGCATTCAATAACAGTTTCTCAGAAACATCTAGAAAGTGAAGAGTCATGTGTTACATTTATGATTGGATGATTACCTATCCTACTAGTGTGTTAAGTAGTGTTTCAGAAGCCCAAGATCATCCAAAATGCTATAGACACCCTCAATTTTCTGTACATAAACGAACCCTGGAGTAAAGTGTTCCTTCTATATTTCTTACCGTTTTTCTCGTGTTCAAGTAGTCGTGTAGATTTAGCCTGGGGTTATTAAAAGAGCTTAGGAAACCAATTCCAATGTTCAGTCAGATTTATTAAAAACCATCCAAAATACCTATCCACTGTGACCTAATTTTCCAGATGACGTTAACTTGAGATCAAAATTAATTTTATGTGGTAAAAACGAAAGTTTGTTGAAGTTCGCACGATTAACATTACCAGTGGTTGGAGATATTAGATGACAGGGTTCAGAATCGGTCAGTGGTGAATATGGATTCACTTGTTGCTTTATAGTGGTGCATTCTGAGTTTTTGGAATTATTTTACATATTTTGTTCTACGAATTAATTTTTTTTTCAATTTATATTTCTTCTCTCCAATCTTATCTACTACTACTAATATTGTTATTATTTCTTATACTTTAATAGTTTTGTCCTGACAGTTTCATCTTGCTATGTTAATGTATAGTGATTTAAACCGGTGTATATGTTCTTTGACGCTTATAACTGACTCAAGAGAAAATTGTTTAAATGACTTTAAGAAGTATTATCACCTATAATCATTAAAATGATTCAAGCAAAACTATACATCGATTATTATAAAATATAATTTTAGGGTAATTATTTCAATGTCTGATTTTTATTTATTTATTATTAATAATATGATAAAGATTAAACTAACCATTTAAAGCAGTACGATCAACAGTTTTAAGTGGTTGAATTTTATCCAGTTGATGAAGTGATTGAGTTAAACTTGAACATTGATGAACCTCCTTTTGTTTATGACTTAAAAAGAGTACAAAAATGATGAACATTATTAAACATTAAGTTTAAAAAAAACATTGTTTGCACTGGATAGTGTTCAAGTTTTAAATAACAGAATACATATATAATTTTGGTTAGTGATCCTGATTTTGATCGCAAATCATTTGTTGATCTACTTTAATAATCGGTCAGTTAAATCGTATCATTTAGCTTCGTTTTTCAACTGACATTCCACTTATTTCTTTTAAAAACTACAAATCTTGTTCTTATGCGAACTCTCCTGTGCAGCAAAGAATTAAGAGTATGGTTAGCACGTACTCGAATTGAATATTTCACTAGTTATAAATTTCGGTCATTTTATGCATTACGCAATCTTTCAGATCGTAACTCTTATTTGTGTTTTTCATCTTATATGTTGGGCTGCATTGCTCTGGCATGTTTAAAGCAAACCATTTCAAATAAATTCAGACGCTTGAAATGAAGTCTATTATGAAAATTACACTATAATAAGTAGCACTCATTCATTAAATATAAATGGGAAAATAGCCGAAAGTGTCGGTTATAACATATTTATTAAACATTGGAAACATTCTGTTAAAATAATTTTGTTTATTTAAAAACGGAAAAGCATATAGAGGGATAACACACACTAACCTGGTACAAAAATTTCCATAACATCCATCACAGGATAACAGTACTAGTTGTCTTTCATTACATAAATGATAATCGCAGATATTATCATTAGCATCATCAGAACGAAATTGACTAGACCCAGAAGAAAGAATATTTATAGGAAGTAACAATAATAACATCAATCTAACCTTGAAGATTGATGACATTTGTAGGTTGAACTTGAAATTGGACAATTATGTGCAGTAATTGAACTATGAATTTTACTACAAAATAAACGGAAAATTATTTTTGTCTTCTCAAAAATAACAAATGAATGGAATTAAATTTCCTGTAAACTCAAAGGGATGAGCAAGTAAGTTATAACGTATAATTTTTTCACTAAATATTAGACTTCATGGTGTCGACAAATATAAGTAGTATGTAACATAAATCGGGAATGGAAGACCTGGCAGCAGAAGGTTAAGATGATCGAATCGAAGTGAACGAAAACAGAGAGTAATTTTATGGCAATGAAGTTTGAGACAACTGATGGAAGATTTGCAAATGAAGTACTGAACGTATGGTTTTCGCATTTCATGAAAGTACTCTGTAACTTTATGTTAAAATAGGATTAGCCCTCCCCACCTGTTTTCGATCACAACACTGTTACTAAAATGTTAACCTGATTTTATTGATAATTGGATATGCTGTCTTAAAATTCCACCTATGTGTGCAGAGTCTGTTACTAGACGTAATAAATAATATATAAGTGACTGATATGAACTCTTTCTTAACCGTAAATGGTTATTGACTTGACCTCTTGGTATATGATTGGTTGTAACCAGGATCTAAACTATCATTATATGAACATTTGTTTCGACTATCATTTTTCCTAACCTGATTGACCTCTCCCATTTGCTCATCAATTTCCCGCAACGAACAAACCTATCTTTTTTGTCGAACGCGTCGTAGAACATTTCCATTCGTATCAATGCTTGTAGACAGTGGTCGATACAGGATTCACACATGTGTTCTGACAGTTTAAGATTATTGGCATACACAGTTGACTGCCTGAACCAGTTGTTAAGCACCTGACTTTACACACCAGACAATTTTATCTCGCTGTTCTAATGAGATATGCTAACTTGAACTGATGCATACATATACCAGGTCCTACGCTGTGTATGAATGAAAGACATTACGAACGCTAAACAGAAGTGAGAATTGAATTCGATTTTGGAATACTCGTGCTCACGCAGAAAGTAAACTGAATGGAACTTCTGTCTGATTTAAGTTGATAGTGTTACATGTAGGCCTTGGTCTAGTGATTTCATGCTTGGAGTCATTTTTGAAGTGAAAGAGATGTGAATTTTCATATCAAATAAATCGAAGTTGACTGCTTTAATTAGATGCTAGATTTATATTAAGTGACAATCCCGTAACCCTTGGTTTTGAAGTACTTTCAAGGTTGTTATGAAACTACCCCAAAATTCAATGAAAGCCACGACCGTTGCTGCTACCTTGATGTGGTGGTCGCGTGTGCCTATTGTGATGAACCCATCGAGCTATACCGACTGGAACAATCGTCCCTCAAGGTCCTACCATGCCAGACAGGTCAGTTGAAGAGGAATAAAACTAAAAGCAGCAAACACAAAGTCCGAGGACGAAGTCGCACTGCTGACTGTACGGAGCTGTGACGGCACTAAGATATTTCCCTCAGACAACCAGCATGACAACGATGCCGTCTTGCCACAAAGGAGGGGTGAGGTTAGAAAACGTTGACCCTAATAATGCACACCTTACCTTATCCCAAGGATATCCATCTTCGGCGGTAAGGTCTCAACAAGTACGGAGCTAACACGGAAATTACCCACAAGAGGGTCGTGTGTGACCGGCCTCAAGTAGTTGTCCCTTGAGCACTGCGGCCACACACTCAGGTCAACTAGTTTGGCTCCAGCCCAATTTTCTATTCAGGTACCTCCAGAAGAACCCTTCCACGAAGTGAGCAACCGAAAAGTGATAACCACCCTCATACCTCCAACAGCGCTCAAGATCACTGTATTCATAATCAATCTCCTTCTTCAATTCCTGTTATTCCACCTACCTCAACTTCCAATTCTAAATTTCCTCTCCGAACTTCGTCCTCATAACCGACGATTATAGTGCGCGAAGCACTGTCCCAGGTCATTCGCTTGACCTCACCTAGCCAAAACGGTGATCCGACGAGATCCATACCCTGTTTATCTGGTGACCTGATGGCAAATTCTCATGAAATAGTGGGTGCAAACATAGCACTAAGTATTCAAGCAGAACAAACACTATTAGAACGGATCCCAGACATAGTACTTGTAGTAGGTGACTTTAATGCCCAAATAGGTAGCTTAAACCAATCAGAAAAACATTTAGGTGAGTACTTTGATATTCCGGTGCAGTGAACAGATAATAGTGACCGTCTGCTGCAACAAGCACTAATTTTAAGCATAAGTAGAGACATCGTCTAAAATGGCGACCCGCTGCGCCGAACCAACGATGGGCTCAAATAGACCATATTGCCATCAGTCATCGTTGGAGAAGCTTGCTTGATAGAAGACTGTCACTCGTTCTGGAGTACATATTTAGACTTTGATCATGCTCTAATACGAGCACGCATTGCTTGCGCCTCACTGGACGCAGAAAAACCACATTAAGAAGATCAATTATAATTGAACTCAGAGAAGAGAAAGCTAAAAGTAGATTCCAGGAACAACTGGGGTCACACTTAAGCAGTTCACTTATATTGGAAGTCTGATTAGTCCTAATGAGTTGATGTCTGACGAAATCTTTGTACGGATTCAAAAAACTGTTTGGCAAATGTGAGACATCCGACTACCAATGAAAGGACGAATATACTGCGCAGCAGTTTGTTCTGTTCTACATTACGGCTGCGAAACGTGGTCATCAAGAGGAGATGATACTCGCAAGTTACTAGTATTAGACCACAGATGTCTTAGAAATATTGCTCATATCTGCTGGGATCATCAGGTAAGTAATGGTGGGGTTAGACTCAGGCTATTAGGATATAATGATGAGTCAGTTGATGAGGTTGTGAATCTTCATCGACTGAGATAGTTGGGGCACGTATTACGCATACACAACCACCGACTGCCACGGCGCGCAATGCTGACTGGTACTGGAGACGGATGGAAGAAAGTTAGGGGGGCTAAAGCAAAACGTGGCATCAGTCCTTGAAGTCACTAACTTCTGATCTGGGCCATGTTGGTAGATGAAAACTATTCGGTTGGGGTCCAAGCAACTATCGTAACCAATGGTCGGAGACTGTGATGGACTTGGCTCAGAATCGACCACAGTGGAGTAGGTGTATACATTCTTTGTCTTCCCCTAAACTGAGATTAAAATTGCTTTATGCCTTGCTTTCGATTAGCTAATTCTTTCGTCATGTATTAGATCCGTATACACCACCTATCTTTCATATATTACTACTATTGAAGTAACCACTTCTATGAATTTGGTGTTCATCTTGTTGTGCTAATGGGGTGGGACAACTTGGAGCAATGCATATATGTGCTTGGTCCTACGTTGTGACTGACTAACTAACTGAAATACTTTAAACTTCTATAATCTACTACTATAATCTATATAAGAATCACTTGATTGAGAAACGTGTTCATAATTAAATAAAAGGTGATAAAATACACCAAACTTATTATCTTTAATTTATGCTATAAATGACCTATCTCCATCATCACCAAAATATTCTCTTTGAAATTTACTAACTGAATGATGTAAGGAATACAGATAACTTTTTCATGGTAATAAATTACATTATGCTCAGTATTTACATTATATAAATAATGCTTGTTAATTGGATTATTGCTCAATAGGTAAATTTAAATATTCTGCTGAAATTGCGTTCAATGAGCTGGGTATTAACACTATGGAGCTTTCATTGTCCTTGTGAGCAACATTGACACTTTTTCTGACATTGTTTGCACATTCATTTTGATTGCCTTTCACGTCAACCACATTTTTGACCTTATATTTACTTAGGATTACTTCTGATCGGAAAACTGGGTCTATTTTAACGCCTAATGATTGCTGACTGCACTAAGTGACAAATTTTCAAACATTCTCCCGTTTGCTTTGCTTCTAACCAAAATTTTAATGTTTTCCCAGTAGTCTACAGGTACTGATATATATATATATATATATATATATATATATATATATATATATATATTGTGGCGTTTGAGAGACAAGTGATGTTTATTTACAATGGGGTGAAGAGGGCTGATGATGTTTAAAGAGACAATGAGGGCTTGACGGTTAAAATGTCAAGATCAGAGAACTCAACTTTAACAAAATAATTCTTTTCTAACATCCTAAATATTCTATTTGAAGACTACCTGGTTGGGGACCGCGAGATGACAGCAACCGATGGTTAGAGACCCTGAATGACATGGCTCAAAATCGTTTGCAATGGCGCAGGTGCATCCACTCTCTGTGTTCTCCCAAATTCTAATCTTCTGAATTCTTCATGTCCCTTTTTTCCTCTTTCCAAATTTCTTTCACTGGATTATACTCTTTAAATAACATCTCCAAACCCTAATCTTCCCGATTACTGCTTATACTCTTATTACCTCTACCACTACGGGATTTGAATCGACAACTGCATCTCTGTGCTAATGTGGTGTGGCAACTCGAACTGATGTACGTACGTACGAAGTTCTACGTTGTTACTGACTGACTGACTGACTGACTATTTGAAGAATATGTAATAACAGGAATCGCAAATCCTATATCAGATTAAAACTTAGGACGTTTGGAAAATTTAAAAATTATTTTAAGTCAGAGTTTGATTTGGAGTATAAGACCATAAATCACTTACCAAAAGACACGATCACAGTGTTCACAATGAATGGGTAGAAAATCTGAAGAAGAGAAACTGCTCTAGAACATTTTTACTGAATTTATATATCATGAAACTATATGACGACACTTTAAATGGAAAAAGTTTACCAAGTGGTAATTTTATGACTTTTTCGAACACCTGACGATAGAAAGTGACTTGATATAAAAACTAACAACACAGATCACAAATTTCAACATAACGAGAGTGTTTTAAATAGCAGAAACACTTGTTAGTATAATGGTTTGTGTCGATTGTTGAATTTTGTGCTCTACATTACGGAATGACCCTAGACACCGAAAATCACGAAGCACACCTCATTAAACGACTCAGATCAACAGTCAGTGACTCCATGAACTGGTACTATTTTCCGGTATGGCTACCTCAGATTTTTTCTGAACTAAATTCCATTTAAACTAACACCACACGTTGGAGTATACGGTAACCTGATATATGTAACAAGCGACTCAGTTAACTGGTACAAGTTTAGTTTGACCGAATGATTCGTTTTTACTCAGAATCTTGCAAATAACCTCAACACTACTTACTTAACGGATTCACAGAAGACATATTATGCTTTGATGACATCTTTAATCAAATAAGTACTTGTGCATTATTTAAACTCTAAAAGGCAATCTGAATAGTTGAGTAGAGGAGCATGATCCGTTTTTGGTTAGCAACCTAATAGCCCAACCACACAACAGTTTGTAAATGTTGGGCCAGTTTCCTGTTTAGAAGACTAGATTGTCTGCAGACGAGACTATTGAAGCTGATGAACTACAAGTTAATTACATGTGATACGAGGTACTCAATAATAAATTTTTAGCATACAACAGGACCCAACTATGAGGATAATACCTTCCACATGATCCTAACGAAGACGACCAATGCCTTTACGAAAGACTGTTTAACAATTTTTTGATCAACCCAAGTTTTCATTTGTCTTAATATAATTCTGTAGTAAAAAAAAAGAACTTATCTACCAAGAAGTAAAAATATGTATACGGCTAAAAGTCTATTTACTAAGGTTCATACTACTCGTTCCAGGTCGCTGTCCACTTAATTTGGTTGTTATGAGGAGTAAGATTTTTTTACAGGTGAGAAATTTAAGATTATTGGAATCTAATTTCAGTTAGGTTAGTGAATACTTATCAAAAATTGAAATGATTCATTCAGCTACCTTATTTTTAGACAAAAAGCGAGGAATACTTACCCAACTGTCTGCAATCCTTTTCAGAACAATGAGCCCCAATATTTAGTTCAGTCATTATACCTAAAGAGAAGTGTGATACCAGTTATATTGGCTGCACACAAATGAACATATATAGTAAAATCGAGAATAGAATCGGATACATGAAAAAAACGTAAATAACTAAATTCCCACTAAAAATCTTATTAACTAAATACCATTTTCTATACTTGGCTTTGATTAATACCGTGCGAAGGGGTATTGATACCGTCCGAATTATTAAAGTGGGGTACATGAAAAGAGGATTGAACCTGAAATTTGGTTAGAACTTTAGCGTTTTAATAACTGGTGCACTGCTTAAGACGTATGTGTTTATGACATGGAAAGCAAGATTGACAAGGTTGATTGAGAAGAAAACTTATATTTTTTGCTAAAAATCAAGAAAAATTGGAGAAAAGCACTGGGTGGTGTTGTACAAAGGGGTGCATACTAAGGTTTATTGAAGCACTAACCATACGAAAATTCAAACCCCCTCTGTGTATTCAAAAAAATTGTTCTCATTTTAAACCTACCCTGGTAATATTAGCTTATTGTCCAGAGTGATGAGGTTTTAAATTGTTTTCACATTATTTCTTTATTATCTTTATCTCCTCTTATCCTCCATTTCTAGTCTAGTTGACCTTTCATTTTTGTATATAAATGGTCTTAACAAGTATATTTGTGATCAGATTGTTCGAAATGTATTACGCTAATGTATTGAATAAAGCCATTAATAATAATAATAAAATAATCATGGTTCTGATGATCTTTGTATTCTTATTACATTATCGAAGTTTACCAAAGGGACTAATTGTTTTAGAACGATAATAATTTCAATGGATGGAAACTTATCATAAGATTAGGTATACTTTTTATTGGGTTATCAATAACTCCTGGGTAATATTTAGCGTTAAACGATTACTCATAATTTTATATGCAACAATTTTTTTATAGTGATCCAATTTGTCGAAAGTTCCACGAGGACAAGCGAATAACTAACATATTTTATGGACTATTTTGTCTCGGTGAATCTAATTTCCAATGTGGATGTTCCTTACGTACCATATTACTTTGAGTAGCTGTCTGTAAGCATTCATGGGTAAAAATAAAATGCGATGACTTTTTGATTTGCACGGATGCAAAAGTTGTCAAGTTTAGAGATGACGACTGTTTTAGCTTCACATTTCTTAGAACTAGCTAGGTTTTTAAAGTTCATTTCCATTACAAACCTTCTTATAAGACGAGTCAGGTATCTAGTGTCGTTTCCGCAGTGAACGACATATTTTGCTCCTATTTATTTATTTTAACACAAATATTGGTACAAGGAAGCACCAAATACATATGCGCCACACAGATCTCATTTGATAAGTGTGAGGGCTGTGATACTGCTCAGGTGCCCGGACCGAAGCAGGTGGTTTTCTTAGGGGGCCACACCCCGAGCCTTCGACCTAAAGGTCTGATCCACAAGGCAGTGGAGCATCGTGAGGAGATGCAGTCCCATGGTAGCCGGTGACCAACGATTGGTTCATACGCCATTTGTTCCTTCGGGATATTGGGACCCATGTGCACCATTGATTTGGAATCAGGCTTTTTCAACTCCCTGGTACGGCCGAGAGTGGTGAGAGTCCGCTCTCCCTCTCCAAATGCTCTCACATGGCCACGCGTATATAGCCTCTGCCAGGGAAGTCCTACTCACTGCCTTCTCGTGGCATTACTGTTGTTTACGAAAATGAGAGGACGAAAAGCGAATGTCCGGCGCTTTAACCGGATTCCAAACCAATGGTGCACATGGGTTCCAGTATCCTGAGGGAACAAATGGCGTATGAACCAATTGTTGGTCACCGGCTATCATGGGACTGCATCTCCTCACGATGCTCCACTACCTTGTGGATCAGACCTTTAGGTCGAAGGCTCGGGGTGTGGCCCCCTAAGAAAACCACCTGCTTCGGTCCGGGCACCTGAGCAGTATCACAGCCCTCACACATATCGAATGAGATTTGTGTGGCGCATATGTATTTGGTGCCTCCTTGTACCAATGTCTATGTGTTAAAATAAATGATAAATAATACTCCCTTAGGTGGATTCTCCATGTCTACCAACCCGGTTGAAGCGCCGGACATTCGCTTTTCGTCCTCTCAATCTCGTAAACAACAGTAATGCCACGAGAAGGCAGTGAGTAGGACTTCCCTGGCAGAGGCTATATACACGTGGCCATGTGAGAGCATTTCGAGAGGGAGAGCGGACTCTCCCCACTCTCGGCCGTACCGAGCATTTGGGGGCCTATGTATCTAGTTCCGTACAATATTATGGACTGGGAAACAAGTTCAGGAAAATGCATTCCCAATATCAATATGATAAGCATAAGGACATTGATGTTTTTGCGCCCACATCTTGACGTAAGGAAGTGATTTCAAGGTCTTAGTAGTGTAGTGATCTTAGTTGCAAAAGTTCTATAAAATTCGACGTGTTTGGAGTTAAATATATATTGGCAGGGTACATGAGCGCGTCTGCTTCAGAACAAGTAGCTGTTCTGTCATTGAACATTAGCTTGGCTAGTTAACGTAGAATCAGTAAGGAAGGTAGAGAAGCGAAACTTAGAAAAGACAAAAGATAATGAAGATAGGATTTAAAATAAAAACGAAGGACTGGGGGTATGATGAATACAATGAGATATTGGGCGTAAAAGCTCCTTGCCTTATACATCAATCCGCTATCCCAGGAATTTACGAACATAAATATCCAGCGTTATTTTAAGGTAGTATACTGAAGGAATTGAGGTCCGATCTGTAAGGACAGCGCTTCACATAGCACAAATTACGAGTGTGACAAAGTTAAATTGTACTTTAGCATTCCCTATTCAGTGAGAAGCTTTCCTTAGGATTGTCTCGCAGATTAGCGTAAAGGCTTTCAGGTTGGATTACTTGTTATGATAACCTGGGTTACTCAGTGTTGTGAACCGTGATGAGATATCTGCTTTTTGTAGTTAATCGGAAACAGCTTCGATCCGCAGTGCTAGTTAGCCCACCAATGCTGAAACCTCTCTTGTTTGCATCTTTATGCTTGCTCATAGAGAACATATTCAATATCAAGAAAGGAGAAACAACATTGTGGGCTACAGGATGACATTGATTACACAAGCATGGGAACCTGATGACAATAAACTGAAATCCAGTCTTAAAGGCTTGGGATTCCTAATCTACATATACAGATCATTGGGAAATTAGCGGACTGAATGTAGAAAGCCGGTAGGGCATTTAAATTTACTATTGACTACTAGAAATTTTCTGTTCAGTGGTATAATAAAGCTGATCTACTTCAACATTGGCCAATATTTAGTCCGAAAGTGAAAAAAGTCCCAAATTCATCTACAAAGTTAAGGAAACAAAAACCTGTCATTTTATTATCACTATATATAACAGACATGTCCTAAGTAAATAGGAGAATGATAAAAGCGATTGAAGACACCTGAAAATGCTTGGGAAAACATTTACGAAGACTTAGCAGTTAATAGACAAGTACAAAAGCTCATCGTCTTTTTTAGCAGGGGCTAGCCGCTTTTAGGCAGTACTCTAGTGTAGAACGCACTAACATTGTACAAAGTTAAAAACGTTTTGGTGTCGACACGACTAAAATCCCTACGTATTGACCATAGGGTTTTTAAACCTCTGGCGGCCACTGCACGGCAGTATGCAGTGGTTTTTAAGTCTTGACTAAGGATGACTACTAAGTCATTGTGTGTCTGGACAACATGTAGCTCAATGCCATTCATCATCTATGACTCTGAACCTTGATGACCAATATGCATCACAATACACTTGGAAGTATTTATCGGCAACTGTCAAGTTTGAGACCATTCGGGTAAATTTTCCAGGTCATTTTGAAGTTCTAAGCTATCACCTTTACTTTTTATCACTCTCAATATCTTGATATCGTCAGTATACATCAAGACCGATGATGACAGGAAACGAGTAATGTAATTTAAATACAAGAGGAGTAACACTTAACGCGCTGTTAATTTAGTCTAAGGCCTTTTGGGACGAATTTATTGCGACATTTCTCCTTAATTTGCGAAGCTTTGTGTGCAACCCCACTTATATTCAATATCTATTGCTCATCTCTTCCAATAAAAAAACGAACATAACTGACGGATTAGTACTCACCGTGCCTCTATTACTCAAATAAACGCTATCTCAGTCATCTGTTCATCTTTTGGCATCGGCCGCGACATGTAGCGTTTTTTTAGGCCGCTCTTCACTAGGTTGGAATTTTGGCGCGGACTTTTATTTAAGAACACTTGGATTTTTGTATCGCGTTACGCCGTCGGTGCCACCACATGCAGAAGAACCTTCAGTAATTAAGTGAACTTATTTGTTGCTATTATCCAAATAGGAGCTTACACATAACACTCATTTCACAACAATTTTTTATCATTTCTGTGATTTGGTATGCCATTTTATTGTAAGTGCTATTTGTTACTGTTTAGCTTTATTCATGGACAGGCAGCTCATTTTTTAGTCTTAATGTCTTTCTGTATGTTACTACTAAATTTGGGCATTGTTACGTCTTACATAATTCTTTTTACTAAAATTTACCACAAATTTAACCGTTTTTTAATGAACAATAAATGTTCCGAATCCGGCATTTTTGTTTGCTTTGTGAGTAGGTTATGAGTACAAAAGCCTGACTATCTCCAAAGACTTCATTTCGAGATCTCAGTTACACCATGCCTATGCATTTTTTTTAATCTTGCATGGTTGCACGTGATTATATTAATGTGTAGCGGTAAATAAATCCCCAAAATAAATAGCACTAAGTTTTCGACATTGGATGCTGACCATATGTTTTAGTGGACTCATCTAGCTGAAGGCGCTCGGTCAGGCATCCGCACCAGATCACGTGTGGTAACGCCGTGCTCAACATCAACCGCAATCGCTAGCCAGATTAGATCAGAGAATTCCGATATATTGGTCATCGCCAAATATACTCTTCCGATCTCCTCGACTCTGTCTTTTGATTTCTCTTGGTGGGAACGAAATATATTAGAAGGTGTTACTGGTAGAAGCGTTGTCAAACACTGAATACCTGTGACATCATCATTGGTGAGACCGTCGTGATCTGGTACACCTTATTGCAACTGTGAGTCTGTTCCTTTTTGGGATTTTTATATATCATTGCCTTATTTTTTATTTTTTTAAACATTGTGATTTTTTTCGTGTTTTTTCTTGGATATATATATATTTTCCCCTCGTTCATTATCGTACTTCATATTTCATCATGACTGAACAGACACCTAAAGTACTCAAGCTTAAGACCTTGTCCCCACCTTCGTTTCAACTGATGCCTTTCTGGCCCGACAACATCGAAGCCTGGTTTTGCTACGCAGAAGCCGACTTCTCCGAGCACGGCGTGATCGACACACGTGCACAATTCCTCGCAGTAGTCAAGGCACTACCGCGGGAATTCAACAGGTACGTAACACCTAGTATGTTTACTAGTGATGTTTCCGATCCTTACGAAATCTTAAAACGCTCGATTCTTAAACGAGGAGACCTAACCGATCGACAAAGGTTAGATCAACTCTTCAATAACATCGACCTGCAACACGGTTCTGCGACAGACATGTTGCAACGGATGAGAGAGGTTATAGGCCCAAGAACTTTCGACGAAGGTCTATTCAAACAACTCTTCTTGTCAAAACTTCCCCAACAGGTGCAAGCAGTTCTGGTCTCGTTCCAGAACAACGCCTTAGACGAGCTAGCTGCATCTGCCGACCGCATTCTAGAAATTACGAAACCTTCTACTACCGAGGTATTTTCAGTCAAAGAAAAGCCTCACACGACTCAGAATGATATAACCGACTTATGTCACACACTCACGCGTTATCTTAGTCTTCGTACCGACCGTAAGAGATCGCGCACACCACGTAGAAGCATTTCTCGTAAGCGATCTGTCTCTAGACCACGAGAGACAGATAACCCCGACTGGTGCTGGTATCATAACCAGTATGGAAAGTTTTCCAGAAATTGCAGAAAACCCTGCAATTTTCCCAACACGAAACCGACTGATTCGAAAAACAATTCGGGAAACTTCCAAGCCGGCACGCGTTAACGGCAACCGTAGCCGGCGAACAAAGCCGTCTGTTATTCGTCACAGATGTGACAACGAGAGTTCGCTACCTCGTCGACACTGGCGCAGAAGTTAGCGTTCTCCCAGCAAATCCTAACGACCGACTTCACGAATCGACTCTAAACTTACAGGCGGCAAACGGAAAACCGATCGCTACGTATGGCAAAAGGTACGTTTACCTTAACGTGGGTTTACGCAAACCCATCCACTGGATTTTCGTCGTTGCAGATGTTTCTATGCCAATCATTGGTATGGACCTTCTACAACACCACAATCTGATCATCGACACTCGCAAACGGAGGCTAGTAGACGGAAACACTAATTTGTCCGTTTGCGTAACTTCTTTTACTGGTTGTAGAGTATCCCCAGTCACAGTTAAGCATATGATAGACCCACTCTATCAACCACTACTCGATAAGTACCCTGGGATACAACAAACTCAACCGAAACTACCGTGTGTAACCAGCAATGTTACACATCACATCACGACTACAGGACCACCTGTATTTTCTAAAGCACGACGACTAGCTCCTGAAAAGCTAAGGTTAGCGAAAAACGAATTCGATCACATGATGGACTTAGGAATCATACGACCGTCAAGTAGCCCATATGCATCTCCGTTGCACATGGTCCCTAAAAAGGACAGCAACGATTGGCGTCCAACTGGTGACTATCGGCGATTGAACGCGAAAACCATTCCCGATCGTTACCCGTTGCCTCACATTCACGATTTGACAGCTACCTTGAAAGGTACAACTGTCTTTTCGAAAATCGACTTGGTTAAAGCGTATAACCAAATCCCTATGGCTACTGACGACATACCGAAAACGGCTATCATAACTCCCTTCGGACTCTATGAATTTTTGCGAATGCCTTTCGGTCTAAGGAATGCTGCTCAAACATTCCAAAGATTCATAGACGACGTTTTTCGAGGTCTCAACTTCGTACACGCGTATGTTGACGACTGTCTAATCGCAAGTCCGGACAGAGAAACACATCTCAAGCATCTGGACCTTGTTTTCGAACGATTACAAAAACATGGCATAACTGTAAACGTTCAGAAATGCCAATTTGGAACCGACTCGTTAGACTTTCTGGGACACACTATCGATGCTCAAGGTATCCGACCCCTTAGAACCAAAGTGGCGGCCATTCTGGATTACCCAGAACCGACCACCGTCAAGCAATTACGCACGTTTAACGGCCTGGTAAGTTTCTATAGACGTTTCATACCGAAATGCGCATTACTTATGAAACCTCTGACCGACCAACTTCGTGGAAATGCGAAATCCATTAATTTGGACGACACCGCACGAAAAGCATTCTCCACAGTTAAGGAACTGATCGCTAAAGCAACAATGCTCGCACATCAGGACACCGAAGCACCCATTAGCATCGCAGTAGACGCATCCGACTCGGCAATCGGAGGAGTCTTACAACAATGGGTTAACAACTCCTGGCAACCCTTGGCATTTTTCTCTAGAAGGTTGCTAGACACCGAATCGAGGTACAGCACATTCGGTAGGGAACTCCTAGCTATGTATTGTGCTGTACGGCATTTCCAACACTATATCGAAGGCCGTGAATTCACTCTTTTCACGGACCATAAACCGCTCACTTTCTCGTTAAGCTCTCCTTCTGACAAGTACTCTCCCCGTGAGTCTCGACAACTGGACTACATTTCGCAGTTTACTTCAGATATTCAACACATTTCTGGAGCAAACAATGTAGTTGCAGACGCTTAATCTCGCATAACTTCCTTGAACAGTTTCCAAGGAATCGACCTTCTTAAACTCGCCGAGCTTCAAAAAGAAGACAGTGATCTTCAGCACGAGTTATCGTCCACAACACTTAAACTACGCATCAAACAGATGGGAACAGGTAAGGAAACCTTACTTTGTGACACATCTACAGGTAGGGATCGCCCAATCGTGCCGAAACATTATCGACGCAATGTCTTCAATACATTGCACAAACTTTCTCATCCAGGTGTTCGTGCAACCATCAAGCTTATAGCAGAACGATTTTGCTGGCCTGGCATGAATAAAGACGTGAGGGAGTGGGCACGCTCCTGTGTAAGCTGCCAAAAATCTAAGGTTATCAGACACAATAAATGTCCCTTAGGCTCGTTTAAAACTCCCGATGCTCGTTTCGACCATGTTCATCTGGATTTGGTAGGACCTTTACCAGATTCAAATGGATACTCTTATCTCTTAACCTGCGTAGACCGTTTCACTCGATGGCCAGAAGCAGTACCTATCAAGGACATCACTGCTGAAACAGTGGCCCGCACCTTCGTCGAACGATGGGTAGCAAACTTCGGCTGCCCTTCAACCATCACTACAGACCGCGGACGTCAGTTTGAATCTGATCTTTTCCGTCGTCTGACCACACTTTTAGGAATCACTCGCTTCCGAACGACCGCCTACCACCCACAAGCAAACGGGTTGGTAGAACGTTTTCACCGACAACTAAAAGCTTCACTATCAGCTGCAAACGTTTCACAGTGGACCGACGCTCTTCCACTCGTCTTACTAGGTATCCGCAATGCAGTGAAAGCTGACATTGGATACACTGCGGCTCAACTCGTTTATGGAACGACACTTCGACTTCCAGGAGAATTCGTGGATCCTTCGTCCTCTTCAATGAACATGGATCTAACCTCCTACACGAACAGGCTTACAAACGCAATGCGTTCAGTTAAACCTGCTTCCACTCGACCTCAATCAACTGATGTTTTCGTTCAACCTGACTTACGATATAGTACACACGTTTTCGTTCGTCGAGACTCGCATCGACGACCATTCGAATCAGCATACGAAGGACCTTCCAAAGTTCTTCAACGTGAATCTAAGTACTATATAGTCGATAAGAACGGAACCAACGATAGCATCAGCATCGATCGCTTAAAAGCAGCGTATTTAGAAGGAAATCCTATTCACGTCGATTTTCCTTCGGTACAATCGAACAACACGACTCCTACACTCATAATTCCTCAACCGACAACCAACACTAGCGACGATACTCCGAATGTATCTGAAAATAAACCTAAAACGACGCGTTCTGGAAGAAGAGTAAGATTTCCAGAACATTTAAACGACTACTGCACGTAAAGCACTACTCGACATTTTATATTATCTCGATCTTTCTTTTTACGATATATAATTTTTTTTAAAAAAAACAATTTTAATATGCCTATATGTTTATATTTTTATTTAAAAAAAACAAAAAAAAACAAAATTATTTTTTAACGCTATTACGTGTGCTTGAGTTTATTTTCCATTTTTTCGCCGACATTGTGTTTTTACGCACATACGAGTGTATTTCGACATGCACTTACATTTCTTTTTTCTTTTCCAGGACGGCTGGAAAAGAACGATGCAGTTTACGAGGAGTCGAAATTTTCGTTGTAACTTTTTCTTTTTTTACTATGTTGTACCTCGGTCCCATATAGTAAGGAAAGACGACCAGACGCTGCTACACTTAGTAAGCTATCAGAAGAGTGTTTACCAACGA